AGGCCTACCACATCAAGGTCCCCTCCCCTCTGGGGCTTTGCAACAGGTACCAACCTCTTGTAGCCCCAGTTGAGCCAGCAGAGATGCCAGCTCCTGCAGGCAAGGGAGGATTCACCCACCCCTACTCTCCCCAAGATGAAACCCAGAGTGGTCGTCATGGGAAACCCCCTCCTAAGAGGGCAATCTGCTGCCCCAACCCCCTAGCCTGGGAGGTCTGCTACTTCCTGGGGGCCTGCCTCCAGGACATAGCAGAGAGGATCTCAAAAGATTATCCGGCCCTCCAAACACTACCCTATGCTCCTTATCCATGCGGGCATGAATGACACGGCTCTGCAATCCCAGCCGGGTCATGAGGGACGACATGGCTCTGGGAGCGGGGCTTAGGGGGTTGGGGGTGCAGGTGGTCTTTTCCTCATTCCTCCTGGTTGTGGGCTGAGGAGGGAGAGATGGGTCAAGGCAGTCATCTAAAGACTGCGGTGCTGGTGTCATTGTGAAGGCTTTGGCTTCGGCTTCCACGTTCAGTTTGCTCTTTGGTGATAGAGGCAGTGGTCTGCTAGAGAGACTGCCTCCACCTCACCCCACTGGGGAGGAGGCTCTTCTCAGACTGGCTGACCTGCTCGACTGGGCTTTAAACTAAACCCACTGGGGGTTTGGGGGGGAGGGGGGGATTACCGTCACTGCAAGCCTGCTGGGCAATCCTTGTAAATCCAGCAGGCTAAGGCACTTAAGGGAACCCACCCCTACTCCAGCCCTGGAACAATCTGTGGGGAAGGCAGGGGCCCCCAATGGGACACTTGCCTGCCAGTACACCAATGCCAGGAGCTTGGGGGAATAAAAACAGGAGGAACTGGTCTTCCTGCTAAACAAGAATGACTATGACCTCATAGGGATAACGGAGACCTAGCAGGACTCCACCTATGACTGGGCGACAGGTATAGATGGCTATACCTTGTACAGGTGAGACTGCGTAGACAAAAGGGGTGGGGGTGTAGCTCTATGTCAAGGACAGCTACATGCCCCTGCAAATTGACATTGGCAGCCAGGACGGACGCCTGGCATCCCTCCGGGTTAAAATACGTGGGGAACGTGGCACAGGGGACATCATGGTAAAAGTCACTACAGATCCCCGAACTAGAAACAAGAGCTGGACCAGGAATTTGCCAGGGAACTGGACTGAGGCTGCATGCTCTCGGTGCATGGTTGTCATGGGAGACTTCAACTACCCGGACATCTCATAGGAAGAGCACTCAGCCAAATCCGATTGGTCCCAAAGCTTCCTTATGTGCATGGACGAGCTCTACCTGACCTCAAGAAGTCTACAGGCTGACGAGAGGTAAAGCATTGCTCGATCTGGTACTGGCCAAAGGGGATGACCTAGTCAGCGATTTAAGAATCGATGGGAAGCTGGGTGATGGTGACCACAAGCTGATCACCTTTACTATCCATCGCAAAGCTGGCAAGACAGTCAGCAATACAGAAGTCCTCAACTTCAGGAAAGCTGACTTCGACAAGCTCAGGAAGCTCATTGTCGAGGCCCTAAGGGACCATGACTCGACAGGAAGAGGAATCCAAGAGGAGTGGTTGCTCCTCAAGGGAGCAATCCTGACAGCACAAGGGATGGCCATCCCATCTTGGAGAAAGGGTAGCAAAAGGGCACAGCAGCCCCCTTGGCTCAGCAGGGAACTTGAGGACCTCCTATACCTCAAAAGGGAGGCTTATAAAGGATGGAAGACTGGTATTACCAAGGAGGAGTACTCAGCACTGGTCCAGACCTGCAGGGAGCAGATCAGGAAAGCTAAGGCTGCAACTGAGCTCCATCTGACTTCACATATCAAGGATAACAAAGTCCTTTTTCAGATATGTAGGGAGTCGGAAAAAAGCAAAGGTAACATTGGACCCCTTTGTACCCCGCCTGAACCAAATGGGACAGCTGGTAACCAACACCCAGGAAAAGGCCAACCTGCTAAATGGGCACTTTGCATCGGTCTTTCATCAGTCTAATGGGACAGCCCTGCCTAGCAAGACGCAGGACGGCCAGGGTGAGGGCATATTTATACTCAGCATCGGTGCTGATCTAGTAAAGGATCACCTTGAGAGGCTGAACACCTTCAAGTCAGCTGGTCCTGACAGATTACACTCTAGAGTACTCAAGGAGCTAGCAGGTGTCATAGCCAAACCATTGGCTAAAATATTCAAAAATTTGTGGTGCTCAAGGGAAGTACCTGAGGACCAAAAGAAGGCCAGTGTGGTACCCATCTTCAAGAAGGGGTGGAAAGAAGATCCTGGTAATTACAGGCCAATCAGCTTGACCTCAATACCCGGTAAGATTCTGGAGAAAATTATCAAGGAGACCCTTCTGGATAAGCTGGCTGAGGGCCACATCCTGAGGGACAGCCAGCACAGGTGTGTTGCAGGCAGGTCTTGCCTGACAAAATCACCTGGACAAGGGAGAAGAGCTTGACATCATATCTGGACTTTAAAAAAGCCTTTGATCTGGTATCCTATGCCCTCCTCATGGAAAAATTGGTCAGCTGTGGCCTCACCTATACCACAGTCCAATGGCTGGGAAACTGGCTCTGAGGTCAGACCCAGAGAGTAGTGATCGATGGTAGCAAATCATTAAGGCGCTCTGTGACCAGTGGTGTCCTCCAAGGCTCTGTCCTTGGACCAGTTCTCTTTAACACCTTTATCAATGATGTGGACATTGGTGTCAAAAGCGCACTGGTTAAGTTTGCTGATGACACTAAACTTTGGGGCACAGCATCCACACCTGATGACAGGCTAGTGATCCAGGCTGACTTGGATAAACTTAGTAAGTGGGCGGATACATTTATGAGTATTGAACATCATCAGGTTTGCAAGGTACTCCACCTCAGGGTGGGGGGGGAACCCGCATCATAATTATAGGCTCAGCAGTGCTATGCTTGCTAGCGCCACTGCTGAAAGAGACAGACTTGGGGGTCATGATCGACCACAAGATGAACATGAGCCACCAATGCGATGGCGCAGCTGGTAAAGCAAACAAAACCCTGGCTTGCATCCATAGATGTTTCTCAAGTAAATCTCAGGATGTCATCCACCCACTGTACTAGGCCTTGGTGAGGCTGCAGCTGGAGTACTGCATCCAGTTCTGGGCTCCACAATTCAAGAAGGATGTTGAGATGCTTGAGAGAGTCCAGGAGAGCCACGCACATGATCAAAAGGCAAGAGAATATGCTTTATGAGGACAGGCTGAGAGCCACGGGACTCTTCAGCCTGGAAAAGCATAGGCTCAGGGGGGGACCTGGTGACTGCTTACAAGTACATAAGGACCTGGGAGAAGGGGCACTCTGGTGAACAGACAAAGGAAAAACAAGGACCGATGGTCATAAACTCCTCCAAGACGTTTTTAGACTGGACATAAATTTCTTTACTGTCTGGGCACCCAAGACCTGGAATAGGCTTCCTCCAGAAGTGGTGCAGGCACCTACTCTGGCCTTAATCAAGAAACACTTGGATGCTTATCTTGCTGGGATCCTTTGACCCTAGCCGACTTCCTGCCCCTGGGGCAGGGGGCTGGACTTAATGATCTTCAAGGTCCCTTCCAGCCCCAATGTCTATGAAACCTATGACTCCTGGCCTAGCACCTACAAACCCCTAGGCCCCTATCTAGGCCCTGGGATGGCAGAACCTCTGCCTGATCCTGGGGCACAGTGAAAGTCTAAGACACGTGTACACTGCAGAACCCTGCAATCTGCTTCTTAGCATCCCATTTTCCACATCAGAACCAGGGCTGTCCCCATCCCAATGCCAATGCTGACAATCAGCTGATTGTCAGCATGGACATGAAGATGCTACACATGCAAACTATGGTGCCATACAAACAAGCCAAACATACCATATTGTATATAGTGTGTGGCTGGTTTGCTCCTGTATGGTCCTCTAAAGGTCCATCTGGTCTCGACCTGCACAAACAGTCGGCCCTGGCATTTAATCCTTCATTCTCTGTGCACAGACTAATGAAGTTAATTTAATTGTGCAATGTGTTAACTACTTGAACAGTTAATGGGAATATCACCATAAAACCCGTAGTCTGCCACACCTACCCTCTACCCTTTGTGAAAGAAAATGTTTGTGGCTAGTGGGAAAAATAGCTCCAGAAAATTCTAAAATTGGTCAATTTTTCCAGTCAGAGTATGACATAACTACAGAAAGGTCTGCCAAAATTGGGGTAAGGCTTCAGTGTTTCTTTCTGCAAGCTTAGGACTACGTAACATTTTTAAATGTCCATAAGTCTGTTTTTGCCAATTTTGATGAAGTTGAGAAATTAATTGCAAAGACTGTTACAGAAATTTAAAAACCCAAAAGGTAGTGGAAGGTGGGGGTAGGGAGAAGGCATGGAAAAAAAATCCTCAAAACAGTTTACAACTACTATAACCTAGGATAATGTTTGAAGAGAACAGATTTTTCTATTGTGCATAATTCTAGTGTTTTTCTGACTCATTGTGTAGATCTATAGCTATGCTTTTAGAAGTTAGATTACAATTTTGACTGGAACACCATGCAATCAGGCAATCCTGAATTGTGTAATAAAATGGATGGTACAGAATTTAATAGCATAAATTTTGTATTACTAGCTGCTGTTTGTTTACACAAACATTCAGTTACTGAAATAGTAAGTAAATTTCAGGTTTCAAGATTAAAGGGTATTGTTAATATGTGCATATTAAAAGTAGGCCGAGATCTGCAAGTTAGGTACTTTAGCTATATAGCAAGCTGCGCTACAGAATTTCAAGTCTGACTGAAGAGAAGAAATGTTCTACAAAATGGGAACTCAAACTGCTATCTTGGCTATATTTCTACCTTCAGTAAGTAAACTTATTGCAAACCAGTATACTAAAGCAGCTTGAGAAGATGCCCAGAATGCTGTTTTTCAGAAAAAAAAATATTTCACTGCTTTCTTCACCCAAGTATAATATAACAGGTCTTGCATTGATACAGCATGCAAGGTAATGTCTTACCTTCAGGGGCAGCTGCATCACAGACTTTAGGCATGTATGTTGTAACATTTCCCAGATGGCCATCAGTCATGTTACTCTGCATAAAGAATAAAGACAATATTAGAGAAGAATATTTTATACCGATATGCAGACTATTCCCTGTGATAATTCCTAAAGCACAGTTCTCCAAGAGCCAATTATTTTATTTTGATCCGGTTATTATTTGATATGCATTACATTTCACTTTATAAGGTTTTCCTTTTCCAGGAACAAGATAAGAAAACATTATTTTTATAGTACCTATGTAATCTATTCATGTCATAGTACATTATTATAAAATGATACCAAAGATACATATTAAGTGTTGCAAATTAATATCTTCATATAAAACTGCTCCAAAATGTTGTTTCATGTTACCTTAGTTGATTAAAAAAAGTTAAGATGGTATATGAACAGAAATGGGGAAAAAAAGTACAGTTGCATTAACTAAAGAATACTGATCACGCGATGGACTGCAAATTTTTCTAAACCAGATACCTGAAGGTAGTTTCTTCAATCTGTACCATCTGAGCACAATTTTTTTTCCTTCCCTCTCAGAACTGTTGAGAACATACACCTCAGTCAGGCCTTTTTCTTTTTGAAGGAAGGGGCCTACATAAAGACTTGGGAGCTTAAATTCAGCTCTACACATCTGCTACTTAACAGAACCGTGAATCAATGGTACGTGCAATACAGAACTTAAGCAAACTATGCAACCAATACAAATTTATAGTAATAAAAGCACTGATGCATAAAAATAAAAATATTTACTATGGAAGATTACTACATTTCAGGCTCAGTCCTTTGAGATGCTTAAACTTATAATATTTGAACTTCATTAAAAAACAACAAAAAAGTGCTGCACTACATTAGAGCAGAGGTCCTTGCTAATATAATTCAAAGCTATCTAACTTCATTATTATTTATGGTCTACTGATTATTATAGAATCTTTCTTGTTAAAAACTATACGCTTAACATTTCATCCCATTTGTTTGGCGTGGGGGAAGGGAGAAAAAGGGGGGGATGGAGATGGGGAGCAGGAATAAAAGGAAGGAGAACAATGCACAATTTATTTATTTATTTTCACACTTTTAGCATTTGGATCTGCTGAAAAGACAAAAATAACTCACAATAACAAAGCTTCACTAATGCCCCTGGTGAATATCCCACAGATTAAGAAAATCTCATCTCACATTTTTTTCCTAATTAAATCGACCTCTACTTAATTTGTGATTAGTTATTTTTAATCCTTGACATTTTTCTTCTCCATTTGCCATTTACTTTTTGCAAATATTTGCTGGCCCTCCCAAGAAAACTATTTGTTAGTTAAGCTAAACATAAATAGTTTTTTTCTTGAAAGCCAATATTTGTGCTTCACTGATGACTTATTGCTTTTCTATTAATTTGCTCTTATTTGTCAATATTTTACCGATAATAAAGATACCCAAAACCAATTGCAATATTCCAGCTCTGGAGGCACCAGATCAATAAATCTTCTGATGCCTCTCTGTATATAGCATAAAATTGCATTAGTTCTTTCCAGTGCCACACTACATCTCAGACACACATCTAAATTGCTGCTTACTAATGTCACATTGGTTCTTGACACCAACTTGTCTTTTACCCACTAAAATGTTTCAATTTATTCCCCTTCCCCCCCCCCCGGATCAAAAAGTTTTGTACTTTTTGAATCAACTTAAATTTACCTATTTCCAGTACAAATATCCAATTACCCTAGCATTTTCACCACTATTTGAGTATCTGGATTGGCTTTTATAGATAAAGTGAGCATGGCTTCTGGTTACTGGGAATGCCATAATTTCACCAAGAGGTGCTGTTTTGTTCTGGGCTTCGTAAGTGATGCAGTACACCCTTTACAGACTGTGCGAAGGCATCACCAATCAGATGATTCAATGAAACCAACTACAGCCTGAGCATTCTCTCCAGCTGTTATATAATGAAACCAACTACAGCCTGAGCATTCTCTTCAGCTGCTATCTGCTTTAAGACTTCGGTCAGCATGTTCTTTGGGTGCATACTCCATCTCTTGCCTCCAGTTCTCACAGGGACTCAGACTTATGACACCCCCTGCCCTTCTATACACGTTATATAACCAAGACATGATTTGGCTGAGGCTTAGTATGGACATTCTCCACTCTGCCCTCCTCCCCCTGCCCCCCAACCCTGAAATAATTCCTTGGTGACACAGCAGCCAACAAAATCTGAACATGCCTAACAAAGATAATGCTCCCTGCCATCCCTAAACGCTCCTTAACACCTCCTTTCTTGAGCACTGGCCACTATAAGCATCCTGTCCATCAGGCCTGTAACTAGAACATCTTTTGACTTGAATCTCCCAAAACTTCCCAATAAGCTAAGAAAATTGTACCACTTTTTATGCATTCCTCCGCTGCCTGCCTTATTATTCCAGGAGTTCTAGACTTTTGCTAACCCAAAAGGCAACAAACAATAATCAACAAATGATACATTATTGCATTAAGAGAATTGAGGGAAAAATCATACCTCACTCTGTCAACTGATTAAAAAACATTATTTTTCTGTTGCTACAAACACAAGAAGGCCTCAAAGGCAAGCCATAGGTTAGATACCACAGCTACATTATAGCAACCTACTTGTCTTCACTTTAACCATCACTTAGGGCTTACCCCTCGTTTCCAAGCATCTTTTATTCAGTATTGAGATGCTGAATTTCTACATCAGCAGTCCATAATGCCAGCCTCCACTGCCAACTAATTTAAAATGTTCACATTTGAGGGGCTCCTCCCAAATATTTGCAAAGGCATTCAATTTTCCCTTTCAAATCCCTTTTAAAAATGCATTTACCATGAGCTGCGCAAACATGCACGCACACAGCGCTAGAAGGTAAAGACAAGAGGGGAGAACTTGGTTCTGCCTTTGCCACCATCCTCTTTCATCAGTTACTAAAACCCACTTCTGCAGTTCTTGCTAGTACTCACCAGAAGTGTGACATCCTTCACCAGCTAACAATAATTATTGTCATCATCATAAAAAAACCAATCACCCTATACACATTATATCCCAATCACTGTACCTGGCCCATTAATAATTCCACCTTCAATATCCCTTTCATTTGATTTTTCTTCCTCATTGATTCCCATATACACATGCCCTTCCCGAGCTAAGTATACAAGGACACTACCCCTTTTCCATACAAATCTTCCTGAACGTGTAGGTTTTAGTGTTCTAACACCAGGCGTTGATTTTTTTTAAACTTTTGTTCAATCATAATTTTTTCTGTGTTCCACAAACTTACGCATTCGGCTTAAAAAAAAATAAAGCATTTTCACATGGAAATGTCACCCCAATCTTAAGTTTCCTCACTAAAAAAAGTTCTCTATTAACGTAGGAAACAGAGATCTTGTCTGTATTAGGAAGATTCTAGCTTGTTGTTCAGTGTGCAGTAGAACACCAGACAACTGCAGCCTAATAAACTGCAAGCTGCTTCTGCAGTAAAATTATTTCCTTGCAACTGATTCAAGAAAAATTCAGGGCTAGCTTCTGCTGCAGAATCCTCACTAACTGTTACTCTAACCAACAGAGGCTCTCCTCTTACCTGTATCACTTAAAAGCTTGCATAAATAAATTTAACCCTGAACACCACAAAGTTCAAGATGCAACACAGAAACATGTAGGAGTAATGGTTACATCAGTTACTGATCTACCATATTTTCACAGCTGCACAAGGGGTGCTCCCAAGTAACATGGCTGTTACATGCTCTACTGTGTTTTTACTGCTCCTTTGAAAACATACCCCAGTCTAGGACTGGATTTTCAGTTCATTACAGGATTCAAGAAAACAAACTAGTGTTCTACAAGGTCCATCTTTAGTTAGACTGTTTTTTAAATTGTGTAGTCTTTTAGTCTGTCTTCTCCAGTCTGCTCAAGGATATTTATACGTCTCTACTTGAGTAATACGAATTTAGTCTTCATTTAGAAAAACAGCATCGAAAGCTTTTCAGCAGTAAAATCATATGTACATTTCCTTTCCTTCACCATTTGCCAAAAGGATCAATAAAGAAATAAAAAGTTGGCAGAGAAACATTTTTTGTTCATATCACTGGACTTAGGATCATAGAATAGGAGGTTGTTGCTCTGAAGATCTTATAATGCCAAAATGAAGACTAATCGAGTGGTTCAGGAAACTGAAATGTGTAAGCTGCAGTTAAACATAAGCTTATGTAGCACATAAGCGGGGGGGTGTTTTATATAATACTGTATATACTTACTGTAAACAGGTTTTTAATATTATATTAAAATGTATATAAAATATTAAAAACAGCTTTAAGTATATAAAGTAATGAAACTGAAAGCAAGCAATTCATTTTTAGGTAAGGGAGGAGAGTAAATCTATTGATGTAACATGGTGACTAACAACCAAAGGGAAGTCAAGGAAGATGGCAGAGATTAGGCAGGTAGTAGACTCCTATTTCAACAAATGAAGCTGTAACAAAAAGGCACCTTTCAGTTTTGAGAGAAGTAGCCCACAAAGGCTAATCCAGATTTTGCTCAGTTCTGTTATTTTTTACCTTCCCCACTGTGCGTCTTTCTTAAACTAGGTATTGATAACAGATTGAATAGCAAATCATCAGAAAAAATACACTTTCCCTTTAAGTTTTGTTCTACATTTAGTTATCTCCCATCTTGGACCTCTCAGATTCTCCATGAATTTTCAAAAAAGTTTGGCAATTAAATGTGGGTTCAATTCCTCCCTCCCTCACAAGTTTTAGACAAATCCAATGCCTTGTACCACAACAAAGTAGGAAATGCCTTCTTCCTTTTCATCTGACTAGAAAGGAAAACATTGTATGGAGTGAATAGCTCTACTTGAAAAATGCTCCTGTTTTTAAGTTTCTGAAAATATAATTGAAAAAGTAAAATAAAAAACCCAAAAACTTGAAAACCACCACCACCGCCAACCATAGACACAAAAAACTTGCTTAACACTTGACACATTTGTTTCCAAAATATTTCTCTCAATAGGATTATTCACAGCTCAACTTGAATTTGCCAAAGAT